AGTATATATAACACTGCTTTACCAAAATATTAATTTGAAATATTGACCCTAAACTTGAAATTATTACCAAGATCTGTTAATTCATTTTTATGACTGCTAGGGCAAATATGAATATAATTATGGTCTTCATTATACTTTATATCTACTTTGGTAAATTATCAAAAAAAATACTTTGAAATAATTTAACTAAAGATTTAATTACCTTCCAATTACTCATTATATTAACCATGTTTAAAACTGTTTCTTCTCCTGATTTAATTTACAGGATTCTTTTGCAACTGCAAATATTTTCTTTCCGGTTTCATTCTCCTTTTTCTTTATGGTGGATGAAATCACAGAAAGTATATTCAATCCATTAAGAAAATTGTTAAAATGTGTGGCACTAATTCCTGCATGTATCATTCCTGAAAAATATGATATGAAATGTCAGTCTGCGCATTGGTTAATTAGATAAACTATTTAGACTTTTCAGTTCATAATTTTATTTGGAATATACAAATGTTTTTTTTTTAATTTATATTTATATAATATGATTGTAAATTCATATTTGCCTTTATTCTTATAGATCACAGACTCATATACATTTCTTGTGGCTTGCATGCCCCTTCCTCATTTTCTTTTTTCCCTTCATGCATTATCCTGCATTCCACACATCATTATATCTGTGTTTTTAAATGACTAAATCTCTAAGGTATCAGACCACTTGGTCTATGATCACATGCAAAAGATGATTAATATGAAAAATTCTGATTATAAGATAAAGACAACTAATGTTTCAAGTTTGTAAAACATTATTTCTGTGAATGAATCATTGTGACTGTATTTGTTTTCTTTTTCAATTCTAATTTCATTTATGATAAATTGCTACCAAATAATTATTTACAAAATAATCCTCCCCTTTTGGATGCAAAACTAAAAAGCCCCTTATGCTGTTGTCTTTCTGTTCATTGCAAAAATGATAAATAAAATAACTTCCAGGGGCAAAATTCCAGAAAAATTACTAAGTCCAGCTTCCTAAAAAAATTGGGCAGCACTTCCCCTCAAAATTATGCTTTTTACCCTCAAACCACACAAACCCCAGACCATAATAGAGGGGAATTCAAGAAAGAAAAAGAGAGGTGTGGGGCAGGTTCATTTATACAAGACATGAAACCATACACCTTCTCCAACAAGTAAAATGTGTAAAGAGAATCTAGAGAGAAAATTTAAATCTCTTACCAAGTGCAGCTTTTGAATTGATAACAAATTCACCAGTCCCATTTCTTTTCCTCGTATCTACGCTGTTACATATGCATGATATGCAGGTTACATGCATTGCAGCTACTACAAGGTAGCATGGTATGGACAAAATGCTCCACTGCCTCCACCTCCAAGGTCGTATTTCCGTTTGCCGACAGTATCCGCAGGGGACAGTCACACATCTTAACGAACAGATTCTGCGCTAGGTGGTGAGCCAGAGCTAGCCGTCGACCTTCTTTCCAGGTTTCGTCAAACGAAAGGTCACTGTGATCGGACGCCGAATTTCTCCAACTCACAAAAACTTGTATCATATGATCTTATAAGTTGAGAATCATTTAAGACTGTGTGAACTTTCAGGCTGAAGCTATTCATATTCTTCATTTTAAACGAACGCATGAGTTTAATCTTTTTGATAAACCTTCCTCTCTTCCGTGCGATCAATTAATAACATATTAAATGATAGTCAACATGGGTTTAGAAGTAAAAGGTCTTGTGAGACCCAACTTATCATCAGTTTACAAGATCTTGCAAAATCATTGGGATATGGTAACCAAATAGATGTTATACTTTTAGATTTTTCCAAAGCTTTCGATAAAGTCCCCCATCAAAGATTAGCCCAGAAATTAAACTTTTATGGTATTAGGAATCAAAATTTAAATTGGATAAATGACTTTTTAGCTGACAGGCAACAGCAGGTACTATTAAATGGTGTTAAATCTTCAAAATTAGCTGTTGATTCTGGTGTCCCTCAGGGAACAGTTTTAGGCCCAACATTATTTTTACTCTTTATTAATGACCTACCCGAACATGTAACTTGCAATGCAAGACTTTTTGCAGATGACTGTTTATTGTATAGAAATGTTAATAATAGTTCTGATGCCAAATTACTTCAAAAAGATTTATCTAGTTTAGTACAATGGGAAGAGGACTGGCAAATGAATTTTAATCCTGAGAAGTGTTATGTTATTCATATTTCTAAAAAAAGTAAACCTTCCACTTTTGATTATATATTGCACAATCATGTTTTAGAAGCAGTAAAAGACAGTAAATATTTAGGCGTAACTATAAGCCATGATCTTGATTTGGGAACACATATAAACAATATTACCTGTAAGGCAAATAAAACCTTAGGTTTTCTTCGTAGGAACTTAAAAAACTGCACACGTAAGGTTAAAAACCTTACGTACACATCACTTGTCCGTCCAGTCGTCGAATACTCTTCCCCTGTATGGGATCCGTACAAAAAGCAACACATCACTCAGGTTGAGCAGGTACAGCGTAAGGCAGCCAGGTTTGTCTTCAATGATTATAAAGACAGATCACCTGGAGCAGTTTCAAATTTAATTAAATCATTGGAATGGGAAAATTTAGAAATAAGAAGGAAAAAAGCTAGATTAACTATGCTATATAAAATATATTGGGGGTTAGTGGAAGTTCCTAAGGACAATTTAACAATATCTGATAGACGTACTAGGGGGAAACATTAATTTAGGCAAATATCAACAAATAAAGATTTCTATAAATTTTCTTTTTATCCTCGCACTATTTCGGACTGTAACTCACTACCTGAAGCAATAGGTATGTCTGACACCCTGGAATCCTTCAAAAGTGGCATATCCACTCTAACATTTGAAGGATCCACAACAACTTATTAAACTACAAAGCCACTGTACATAATGTATATATGTTATTGTTAATGATTTTTCTTTGTCATACTTTTTTAAATTAAGTCCATATGTACATAGCACACAGGTTCCGGGAAGTTTTACACTCCTACCTAGGAGTCTACTCCCGTATTCGGAAGAAGAAGAAGAAGGAGCTGTAAGTTGTTTACACACGTTATCAACAGACGACAACGGAACTGTACCCGTCACTCTGATATATAGGCGATATATCCTAAGATTAAAACAAGGAACCAGTTTTACATCAGTGAAACGTTGTTATCTCCCTTAGTATCGAAAGTTACCTTAAAACCAAAAGGAGCTTGAACAGAAAAGTCGGTCATCTTTGTCTTGGGGATTTGAAACTTTTGCATGTTTACTTACTTTAAGAACTAGAAAAAAAGATATCCTTTAAATCATGCAAACAGCTAAACATTGGCTACGGCGTAACAGATGGTAAATTCGATATAACATATTAATTTGAAGTATGCTTAAATCCTGCATAATACTATTTACATTTCACTAAAAAAAGACGTATATTTTCCAGCGTATATGACAATACTAATACTTTCTGAATTTAACTCTTTTTAAACAGTAGTAAAAACCAGGACAAGAAAGTTATGTGTGAAAGTAGTACTTTATCACTCTGTGCAGCCAAATGATTGCATGTTCATCTTCATGTACAACTTGTTTATTGTATCCATATCAGCTGTCAATTTACATTTAAATTTGTGAAAAATCAGAAACCTTTTAAAAAGGAATTCTTTAAAAAGTTCCTTGTGATTTAAAATTTATATTGTAAATATACGCACTGTAGTGAAATTATCAATAAAAAATATTAGTCCCATACATTCAATAACAGCGCTCGAAGTTGAGTTCACTAAGGACAATCTTATGCCGTGGATATGAAATACTAGAATTTCTAACACCGTGAAAATTTAATATGTATGTGTTTTGTGTACACATCAGAAAAATGTTTATAACTGGGCTCGGCTTCATTGGCAACGCTCAGAACTAAACGTTGAACCAACCAAATAGGATTAATATCAATGAACAATATAACTAAAAGAGAAAAAAGAATTCAAAGCCATCAACGCTAGATACTTGATATTTCTACTCCAGGGACCATATATATACCTTGCTTAGACACGTCTTTGTTTTTTTTTTTTGTTTTTTTTTTGGATGATAACTTGAGTATCCCCATGATGAATTGTTACTCATTTATATGGGTCAACAATATGCAATAGCAGTAAATATTTTATATGTCTCTCCAAACATACTAGTATTTTGAACCCTTAAAATACAAAACACACCATACTGCTTATTTTTGTTTTCTCTTCGAATGATTGTGCGGTTCGGGGAGCATTAGTTGGTAGAGCTGTCTTTTCAGTTTTCATATCAAAAATATTAAATTATTTTTTTTTTTTATTTGAGCCTTTATTTGAACTATATTTCATGCGAATAAAGAAATAAGTCGAAAATCCCCTCAGCCAAACATGATAAACATGCCTGCATTAAAACTCCAGATTTTCAATAGTTATAGTTTAGTAGGAAAATGGAAAAGTAGAACGTATTCTCTTTCTTTGACTTAAATCAAAACGAGGAAATTCATTTTTTTTTTTTTAATTTTCAAAAAGATCAGTTTCTGCGTTATCAAAAATGTTCTGAATGCTTGATTACAGCTTTCAAAATAATGTCTCTTCTCCTAACATATTTCACATTGGTTCACATAGATAGTATATAAAGTTTGAAATTGGAGACTTATTATCATTCCTTCAATAAAGTTCATCACTTGATTTCCTATTTATGTTTATATATAACTTCTCTTTAAAAAAAAATCCACGTCCTCAGACGTTCATTGCATACTCTCGTTTTCAACCTTTGATTGAGAAAATAAATATACATCTTGTATTAATTAAGCAGCTGTAGGTATATATTTTTAAATAAATTGTGGGTAGTTAATCAATAATTTAAGCAGCATATGCATTGTACCGGTCCCCTCAATATATTGACGCCATAGGGATACTGATGAGATAAATAACTTGATATTTGAAAAATTAATAATTAAAGTTTTCCAGTAATCGCTTGAAGGAACACATTTGCTTTAACGATGAGGTATTCCATTGTTAATTTTGCCATCAACAGTAATAGATGATAATGTCATCGTGCGAGGAAGACTCTGAATTATGAAATATTTCATTTATTTTGTGGTTTTATTTTGCTGTATTGGAACAGTTTTTGCTGGTAAGTAATGATGAATTCGTTGTTACAACAGTGTTAAGTATTTGCAGCGATTTATTTAGTTACTGTATGAAACAATTAATTGATCTCAAATACATGTTTGTTTTAGGTTTTTGTTTTGTTTTGTTTTTGTTTTATAGGGGATGAGGTTTTTGTTGGTTAAATCCTGCGGTTTTTTTTTTTGGTTTTTTTTTAACCAAAATTAATTGAATAGGACAGTTTATATTATTATTTTAGCTAAGGTAATAAGTACGTAAATTGCCAGTCCAACATTTTAGAACTTTTGGAAATATTATGAACAACCATAAACAAGAGTTCGGTGTTACAGCTATTTGAAAATGTAAGGAAAGTCGTTCCTGACGTTTTTCTTCATTAAATGTTAATATGATGGAAATTTCCTTTTAATTGATGTATTTTTCATAAAGGGCGACCGAACTATTTTTTTATATATCAACTGTTGAAAACCTGCTGACGAAAAAAGTTTAAATAGGATAACGTCCGCCAAATGAAAATGGACTTAACAATAAGAAGGCATTTTGGATGAAATGCATCTAAATGGTAATTACACCACGATAAATTATAAGAAGAATGGTCCCAAATCAATGAGGAACGATTGCCCTTATATTTTGGTATAATTTTCGGCGAGTTTTTTGGTTTTGGGCTATTGCATATACTAGATTATTTGCTTGATAGCGAATAATCATTGTGATAAAATTAACTCTTGTATTTCTAGGGTAAGTTGTAAAGATTTAGGCAACGTAGTTTACCTATGTTCAAATCTTTATAAATCGATTAAAAAGATATACACAAAAACTCAAGGAATCACAGGAAAAGCAAAAGGAGCTAGACGACAATTCTGGTATTTTAAGATCTAAGATGCAAAGACATGTCGCTAGTGAGTTGAGACACATATATATCGTTTCGGTAAAACAATAAGTGATGACACATGTGTAGCGTTGATTTCAGTCGTTATTCCTCATAACTGTTGAAGCAGTTTTGTGTAATGAGTGCACCCCTATTAATGAAGCTCGTATAATGTGTAACGTATCTGTTGATATACCACATTGTGGGCGTGACAGAAAGCAATGTAAGCAACGAATTTGTATATGAACTTTGAAAAGTGAATACCATAAGTTATAAAAAATGAAAACAACACGTTATAAATTTCATGCTTCCGTGGCGCTTTTCTGGATTTACCTTCATCAGGAACGCTCAAAGCCGAATATTTGAAAGCCAAGGATGTATAACAATCGAAACATTTGAAGAGCTATATAACCAAAACGGACCTAAAAAAATAGCCAAATCCATCGAAGGCCAACTTTGCCTAAGGGAGTTGAAACCTTAGTTTCTAACAATTTCAAAAAATGTTAACGGACAATTTTAGAAATAATTATTTGATAGAGTCACCCACTTTGTTTTTACTGTAAAAATCATTCAAAGCGTTGTTCGAAATAAGCAGAACATCATCGAGTTGTCAGACGTAAAACGTTTTTTTCTTCTTTTTTTTTAACTTTTTTTTCTCTCCCAACTAGGTAACAGATTGTTTAATACACCAAAAAACGAAGTCGGTGACCATATGATTATGTTATATCATTTAAATGGAAATCTTTTTTTTTTTGCCGTGCATGTACTGATTTTGAGTCATGGAAGGATACACCCTATCTTTTATTTTTCTATTATAATAATGGAGTTTTTCTCTCGCGCTGTGTGGAGTCCGTAGAAAGTTTACCCGTACTTGATGTGTATTCTCTTTTAAGTTTTTGAAGTTATGATGTATTTATTCTAAAGATAACTTCTCTTATGTGTGCCACATCATTCTCTAAATTTTAGACCAGTTTGTGCACTTAAATTTTGATAGGACGCGCACCACCTATTCTTGGCCCTCATTCCTATCCACGTTAATTTTTTCACTTCCAAACATTTCATTGGGCGGGATCAACCGTTATTTATACAGCAGACCAAACCAGGTACTCCATATCTGTGGAACAGACTATATATGCCCTCATTCATACAGTTTTGTATTATTCAAAACTATCAGTCAATATTTGTTCTACAAAGATCACCAGTCCTTCTTTCATCTGATACCGTAATACTAAAATATATTCTACATAGTTTTATATTTACACCTATGCGTAGGAACTATTTTGTGTTATATATGTACTACTTTCCAGTATTTTCTTTTTTGACCGGGCCCGATTTGGTGGTGTTACATCTTACAAAGTCTATCCAAATTATTTTTGCAGAGAATTCCGCTCAAACCGGTGATAGGGGCCGTCTTAAACTTGCAGTGAGGTGAAAATTTGATTGCTCCGTGTTGAATGCCTTACTGTGACTTTGAGATAAAGAACAGCAATAAAAGCGTTGTTCCTTTCCTTTTTGTGTGTTTTTGCTATGCATGTACTGATTTTGTGTCATTGATTGATACCCAATATCCTTTGTTTTTCTATTATAGATAATTTTTATAATGAAAGAATTCATATTGTTAATACTTCATCCGTATTTCCGCCTGCCAGTTGATAGTTTTTGTTGAATATACTCTACCGTTAATAATAGAAAATATTTTCATTTAGTTAGTGAAGTGAGATACATAATATATTAAATAACGCCTCACATTTGGATGATTTTGAATGAATACTTTATGAGAAACTGTGACTTAGCACAAAGATTTCAAAATGTATTTCAAATACCAGCTATTTCCTGTTGATATTGACAATTATTTTTTTACACCATGTATTTTCTATAAGAAGTTAAATTGGTTGATCACAAAATGATTCGGATTTAACGTCATTTATATCAACTTTTCAACTTTTGCATTAAGGTTTGAATTTTCAAATATTTTAGCATCAAGCATCACCGTAGAGGCATTAGTTGTCGAAATACGCATCTGGTGCAGGAAAATTGATAACATAAATGTTATTATACAAATTGAAAAAAACGTTTATTTTGCACATCCATGACACGATTACAAACAATTTAATTAACGCAAGGATATACTTGGAATTTTCTTGAAATATATTGAGAACATAGTTTATTCAACGTTTTGTTATTCTACTGACATTATTATTGTAAAGCTCTATTACAGCATGTTCCCATTTTTGGTAATGTTTCAATATTTAAAATCACCTTCTGATACTAAATAATACTTATTTTTCATTCAAACATTAAACATAGAGCATACTGATGAAGGTTATTCTAAAAAAAAATCGATCTTCGTATTTAGATTTCCAAATTTTAAATCAGCCGTACTTATTGGCGAGTATTTCGGAACACTTACCAACGCACTGGAATAAGTACAACATGTGGTTATATTAAAAGTTTTACATTCAATGCATATATTTTTATATCCATATGGATAACCTTTTATTAGCTAAATTTGTGGGTCTGTATATCTTTTTTGTATGAACTGAGATGGAAGACATCAAAGGGACAATAAAAACTAAATGTTTTCAGAAGTTGTGAAACTTATCATGTCAACGCTCCCAGTCTCGTTCCTTTCGGAGTTATTCCCTTAGTTTTTTGTTTGTTAACCTAATTTGTACCAAATCAGGAATATGACAGTTGTTTTCAATTCTTTTGATGTGTTCGAGCTTTTGATTTTGCCATTGATAATGGACTTTCCGTTTTGAATTTTCCTTGGAGTTCGGTATTTTTGTTATTTTTTTATTTTTTTTGTATCTTCTCAATTTAATTATGACAATTTAACCATCGGAAAATTTCTGTTGTATCGAATTATTTGTCTTTCTATACGCACATATAAAGAAAGAGATGCTAGGTAAGTGTCAATATGACAACAACACAAGGACAAACAAAATACTTCTAGACGTCAGCATACTGTGTAGCCTTCAACAGAGTTATAAGAAAAATGACTGAAACCGATACTACAAAAGTTTTACGGTCACGAATTTGTTGACCGAAACGATTTGTCGGTGTCTCGACTCACTAGCGACATGTTGTCACGGTCTATATGTTTTAGATAACAGTATAGTCTGATATGTAGTTTTACAGATTGTGTCCAATTCTCGATTGTGACAATTTTACTAAAGTGTGCGTTCGCATGGCGGGTGATGCAAACCAGAAGACGCTTATCCTGTCGACGTAACCGGTTTCGTTCCTTTTGGAGTTCATGAGATTGACCCGTTTTTATTTGTTACCTCGATTTTCGAGATTTGAACATTGTAAAGTACTGCCGTCTTCATTAATATAACATATCAAGTTCTAAATCGCCAATTTTCAAACGATGAGGCGAATGAATTTGATAGAATCTATCCCAGATCAGTCATTAATACCAAATACTTCAAATGACAAAAAAAGAGAAAAATAATCATCAAATGATTAGGTTCCTGGTTTGGTACTGGTAACTTAACATTAAAGGAGTAGATGTAATTCAAATATTATGATGTCCTTGATAGAGGGTTGCTGCTCACAAGGAAGCTATTAAACCAAGAGTTTCAAGTGATGAAGTTGAAATCATCCCTTCGTAAATTTTACGGACGCCATAACGAGTTGGTTGACCGTTATGGAATATCCGTTTCACAGATGATAGCGGATGTGTTCCAAATGTCGTATCTACAATCCCGTCCCCTTTTCCCCGAAAGTGACCTATCTTATTAGACTTATTACTGGGCTTGTACTAACATGAGCAACACGACGATGCCACATGTGGAGCAGTATCTGCTTACGCTTCCGGAGCACCTGAGATCCCCCCCCCCAGTTTTTATGGGGTTCGTGTTGCTTAGTTTTTAGTTTTCTATGTTGTGTTTGGTGTACTATTGTTTGTTTGTTGGTCTTTTTCTTTTTCAGCCATGGCGTTGTCAGTTTATTTTCGACATATGCGTTTGAATGTCCCTTTGGTATCTTCCGCCTCTCGTTTAAAAAGTCTATACAATATATTTAGAATTCTAGACAGTTCGGTACCCAGACAAATCGGCATCCGGACAAATCGGCACCCCCGAAAGACAATTCGGCACCCAGACAAATCGGCACCTAGACAAATCGGCACCTTA